GAACAATGTGCAGACATGTATTTCCAAGAAGTGAATATCACTGGTGAGTGGGTGGGTGCGAAAGGGACTGGCGGTCTCCGTTTCCGAGCTGGGGATGCTCATGATGAGCAGCCGCTGTGGTTGAAGATTGGGAGGGTGGAGGTGAAAGTTGCTCACGGACGCACTCAGAAGGGGGTGCAGTATCTGAACTTTTACGTTAGGCATCTGGGGCGTTCTGGATTGGCCGTCGGAGGGTTGTTAGGAGAAGATGATCACACGGGAGCAGCGACGCCCACGGAGGCATGCCTTCACCACGTTTCCCTTGGTCGAGGTCACAAGGCTTATCACGCGACACCCAGCCTCTCGGACGCGCAGGCAACTTTCGCTTGACTACGTGTGCGAACCGTATGTGCCGAGAGCACCGCACGGGGACTCCTCAGCGGCAGAGATTGCGCAGTCAGGCTGGCAGGCTGAGGTGCAGGCGACGACCGCCTGCGCACACCCCGGCTTTTTTTGTTCCGCCCGCGCACTGCATTCAGGAGTTGGTCGGTGTTCTCCTCCCCCCTCCCTCCCCCCTCCCTCCCTGAGGCATCGGCTCAGGGACGCATCGACCCCCAATCCCCCATGGATCGCCGATCGGGGTCTAGATACGCAGGGACCTGTCGCCTCGCCAGGGCCACTCCGCGGGGCTGCTCGTGCGCTTCCCGACGCCTCAGTGCTTCTACCTTTTGCTTCGTGCGATTATAATCACCACGTGCCTCAGTGTTCTGCCTCCTGCTCTGTGCAGTGATCATCTATCATCTCTTCGGGCCAAGAAGAAGCCCGTGGAGCGGGCGATCTAGATACGCAGGGACCTGTCGCCTCGCCAGGGCCACTCTCCGGAAAGGCGTAGACAAATCTGTCCCATCACCACCACCACCACCACGTGCATTCAGTGTTCCTGAAGCAGTTCTGTCACCACATGCCTCAGTGTTCTGCCGCTTCTTTCGGCAGCAAATCATGGGAGCCTGGCGTACCCTCGTAATTCTGTCTTTTAGGGTCGATCAGCGTCTGGGAGTCGATGAGATAGCGCCCATTCAGCGTCGATTTAGCGTCGGCTCTAACGTGGCTCTAGCGTCGATTCGCAAGGGCCGACAAGGTGGTATGGGAGGCTCCCATGAGTTGCCACCGAAGCTTCTTGTGCCACTAATCTTTCTGGGCCAAGACGAAGCCCGCGGAACAGGCGATCTAGACAGGGACCTTGTGCCGCCTCGCCAGGATCACTCTCCAGAAAGGTGTAAACCAATCTGACCAATCTGTGATGTGGTATAGCAGAAGGGACAAACACCGCGCAACACCGTTGATGGTGCACGTTTTTTTGCGCCGTGTTGCGCGGTCCGGAGGCGCCTCCGTCTCGGACACGTAACCTTTGCCAGGCACCGTGTTTCACCCCGAGCAGTTTTTCCATCGCCCCAGGGCCCGATGGTGGCCTCCAGAGGCGAAGACTTGAGACCACCTGGCCGATTCGATTTGGTCGACGCGCCGGATTTGGGGGTCCCCCCGAGGGTCTACGCAGGTCGATTCGATCCATCCGATTGGGTACCGATCTCGCCTGGCGCGATCTGGTCGGATCCCAGTGTCGATGCAATTTCCCAGGTCGATGCTGATTGATCTTGAAGCTTGTCATCACCTTTCGCGGGCGATGCCTCTCTCCGATATTTCCGAGCCCCCCCCAAAAAGTACCCCTTGGGGGGCTGTTCGGACGCACCCCCCTCGATGAAGGACGCCCCCCCATCGTACATCTCCGAGTTGGGTCCCGAATGTGTTGTTCCAATCCGATGTGATTCGATGCCTCCAATGAGGCCTTCACTTCGGATGCAAGTCCTGGGAGGTTAAATTCAGCATTGGCGCCGGCATTTCCGTGGTCGAAAACTTGCTTCATCCGGCACAGTCCCACTGAATCTTGAAATGAATCTGGACTATTCTAGCTTACTGGCCCCTTCATCGGGCTCAATAGCCTTGAATCGTCATCCTGAAGACCTCCGAGAAGTGGCCCTGACGTATATCTTTCGATGTCTGCCCATGGGAGCAGTAGGCGGCGGCGCTGAAATTCTGTTTTCCTTCACTTGGACCAGAGCTGGACCGCATTTGGCCCTTCCTACTTCTCCTCCCCCTCCTCGTTCTCCTCGCCTCCCTCGTGAATGAGTGAATCCGGTCCAAATGCGGTTCCAAATCCGGCACAAAACAGGCGCTGGGGGCAACGTGTGATCCCATGGAACAGACACCAACGTATCCCCGTGTCGGGTCCCGACTGGCTTGTTCCGATCTGTCTTGCTCGGGAGGGGACAAAAACACGCAGACACGATGAATCGTCGATACCCAGGAAAATATAGATGGGACAAAAATATGTGAAGTGGGGGGGGGGGAAGACGAAAACCCAGAAACTGTGGAAACATCGGGGGCATCCTGGGATCAGCGCCTACTCCAAATCCCTCATTACTCGACCCCCCAAAAAACACCGGACCCCCTTCCAAATGCGACCTGATAAATATTCTAGACCCTTTTCTTCGACGGGGCGCCTTGACAAACCGGACCCCTAAGCTCCAATCCAAAGAAAGAACGCCCTAATAAACCGGACCCCCCCCCAGTTACAAAAAAGGCGCTTTAAAAAACGGGACCGGGGGGACGAATGAGGGATTTGGAGTGTCCACTTGTGTGCCCCATGGGCCCCTGCTCGGGCGAAGAGAACTATGCACATGCACCGATCCTGGCAAGGCCCCTCCTTGACCCGGGTTCGGTGCATGATGCCTTCCTGGCCAAGGTATAGAGGGCGTATGCACCGCTCCTGGGCTCAGGATGGGCCTGACCAGAATCTGTGTATGTGCATAGTTCTCTTTCCCCTACCTGCAAGCTTGCGCCGGTGCCGCCCCCCGAGGCCCTCGCGGGCGTCCCGTAGCGGGCGCCGCCCAGGAGGCCGCCCGCGCCGCCGCCCCGCGAAGCGGCGCCGCAGACACTGCCCAATAGGCAGGCCGCGGCCGCGGCGCGGCGCGCGGGGAGCAAAAGGGTCGCGGGAGGCGGCGGCCGTTCTCCCTCCCTTCCGCCTTCTCCCTTCCGCCTTCTCCCTTCCTCCCCCTCCTCCTCCATTCCTCCTCCACCTCTATTCCTCCTTCCTCCCCCTCCATTCCTCCTCCCCACCTCCTCCTCCTCCATTCCCTCCTCCTCCTCCTCCTCCTCCATTCCTCCTCCTCCTCCTCCTCCTCCTCCTCCTCCTCCTCCTCCTCCTCCTCCTCCTCCTCCATACCTCCTCCTCCTCCGCCGCCCCCTCCTCTTCCAACATTCCCTGTCCTTCTCCTTATGAATAACTTCTCCCCGTCGCACCCCGAGGCCAGTTTGTAATTATGGCGGGCTGGGCGTTTCGACGGAGACTTCCTCACCATTTGTGACTCTGAAGCTTACACGCTGGCAAGAGCTTCGCAGATGGAGGGTGGGTCGTTTGCAAACTGTGGCTCTCGCTTCAGCGCGGTGCACATTCTTTTCAAATGTTTGCACGAGATTCGCGGATTGAGGACCACCCGCTTCCAGGACGTAGCTCTCGCTTTAGCGCGTCGCACATTCGTTTCAAACATTTGCAAGCGTTTCACGGATTGGGGGCGGGACGTTTTTCAAAATGTGGTTTTCGCCATAGCGCCGCATGCATTTCTTTTACAATTTCAAGAGCTTCACGCATTGAGGGCTGTTCTTTTTCAAAATGTTGTTCTCGCGTTAGCGCCGCGCACATTCGTTTATACAATTTCAAGAGTTCCACGGGTTCCAACGATCAGCGTTCCAGAAATGATCTGGCGCGATTCAGACTTGTCAGGACGCAACAGTCAGGTTTATCCGTGGCGTTGCAATCCCGAGAACAATGTCTTGGCATGCTTCAGGGTCTTCAAACGGTTGTCTTCCAACGAGGCAGTTCCCTCAATGGAACTGAGCCGTCGTAGGGGCCTATGAAGAGGAAGCTTGGAGGGAGGGTTCATTCCAACATCGTTGATGACTTTTAGGTTTACATTGGTCCTCCTTTTCCCCCTCCTCCCCCTCCTCCTTCTCCTCCTCCTCCTCCTCCTCCTCCCTGGCGGTACGCCGAATCAAGCAGAGCATGCTCCAGCATCGCCATGCACATTGCCAGACAGTTGCAGCGATTTTTGGCCACCTCTTGAACGAGGCTCCCACTCTACAGGACTGTGGGCGGCTCAGCGACGCAGCTAACCCGTGGGCAAAAACCTTTGACCAGAACCTCAAGCTCTTTCCAGGGATCAGTGGGACCGAGAGTTTTTTCGAAGTCTGGGAAGATAGTGGTTTCCCTTGGAAGGTACTCTTCGACCCCGCCTCCGACTCCTCCCATGAGTTTCTGAAGATTGACCCCTCGATTCTTCGGGCCGCAGCTTTTACTGATTATGATAAGTGGTGTTCATTATTTCCTGAACTACATTATCCTGAACCCAAGAGTGAACACATATTCACGTGTATCATTGAGGACTCCCAGGGCTCTCCATGTGGTCTCAAATATGACACTTATCGGGCACTTATTGGGCACCAGACTAATGGCCATCGAGGACAATATATACTACATAGTGGGGTTATCAATAATCAATGCCCTAACTGCTTCAGCGTTTTTCGGGACACGGACAATGCTCGGAAACATCTCAAGCAACCGTATGGCTATGGAAGATGTGCTGTGGGTCGCGCTCATGGGAGCCCAAACAGATGGACGAATGGAAATGCCCGATATGCCCTGAGCCCTCCGTAGTGTTTGATTCGAGTGTATTATTGTTTCGGCACATTCGAGAATCGCACCTACCTCGCCCTCTGCCACGTCTACATCATGCCGGCCTGTCTCGAGGCTCCCGAAGGATCTACACGGAACACGGGCCCCGACATGCAGCACGGCAGCCAGAAAGACCCGAAGAAAAAGAAAACAGACGGATTAGGCAACGCGGCAGAAGTATCGACCGCACTCAAAAAAGGATCGACGACCCCACTCGCAAGTTGTTTTCCTTCCCATGAAGCAGTTGCTAAACGTAAGCCAACAAGGACGCGACCTCGCAGGTGTAGTGCTGGACGCGTTGATCCTTCCCGCCACGTGCATGCTGATGACCATGATGCCAGAGCAGACAGTTCTCTACGCGGAGGCGGTCAAGAAAGCAGGGAAGGACCACCAGCTCGGCCCGCCTTTCATCTGGGCAATGGGAGGACTGCTCAAGGCCCTGGTGTCCTTGGGCGACAGCATCGGAGCGCAGAACGCCCAAATAGCTCAAAAGGCGTACTCGGAGTACGGAGAATACTCAGTCGACACGAAGTGCGAGCTCGTTCCATTCTGCCGCCAAGACAAAGTTTATCAGAAGGAGCAGCGCCGCTTGACGATCTCTTGCCGCGACCCGTTCTTCCGCACAATGCTGATTGGATCAATAATGCACATTCCAGGAGTCAAGCGCAAGCATGGCCGAGCTCCAGCAGCACATATGGGGGGAGAGATCCAGCAGTTTTGTTTTCGAAACGCTTCTGAAGTGATCGAAGATACTGAAGTTCGAGCTGATCATCCGCAGGCATTTGGAGACATTACACACATATATATATATATATATATGTATATATACATATATATAGTCACCTCCTGATAGTGAGATTTCTGATGATAGCCTTGAAGCTCTACACCTTCCTGATGATACTCCACAGCGGACTCAGGCACAGCGCGATGGTTTCTTGCGAGGCACGGAGGATAAGTATGGTTCGTCTGCTGCTGCTGATGACCCTCTACCGCCTCCACCGCCTCCTGAGCCTCCTGCACCTGAGGCTGCCCCCGTCTTACACATTTCTCCCCCCCCTCCGCATCCTCCCCCCGCTTGTCCCTCGGATGCCCAGTTAGTCACGGAGTATGTATCATCTTGCGGGGCTTTCCTCAGGACCGCAAAATTCGAGACGCTTTTCAAGAGTAGGCATGTTCTGAACATAGCTAAATCTCGAGCTACCTCTTAGCTGCCCTGGTCCCCCTCGCGGCTACCTCATGCGTCGGTGGCTGCCTGGGCCAGGCTGGTCCTTCTCGGGGCCCGAGCTGCGGCCCAAGTGCATAGAGCATGGCATATGCACTTTCCTCTTAAAGTCAGAGGTTCACCGTGCCAGAAGCCATTCGTAGTTGTGCGAAATATCACGACTGGCGATTGCGCGATTTTGCGAGATAGAGCTCGGGTGCAAGAAAACTCACTCTGACGAAGACAACGTTGGCATCGAAGGTGTGCGAATCGAATCCTCCTCCTCCTCCTCCTCCTCCTCCTCCTCCTCCGCCTCCTTCTCCTCCTCCTCCTCCTCCTCCTCCTCCCTCCTCCTCCTCCTCCTCCCCCCCTCCTCCTCCTCCTCCTCCTCCTCCTCCTCCCCCGCCTCCTCTTACCCCCCCTCCTCCTCCCTCCTCCTCCTCCCTCCCGAGAGGAGGAACAATTGTGTGTGTGTGTGTGTGCAAAATCATAGCCTTAATTTAATCATCAACCTCGCCCTTGTCTTGGCGTGATCAACCGGAGAACTCCCTTTCTCTCCGCTTCTGCTCCCCGGTGCGCCGCTCGCGCTCCCCTCCGGCTCTTGTCCTTCGCCCCCCTTCTCTATCCTTGGCCGCTCCATGCTCCAATTGTCCGTCGTTCGCTTGGCCCCGGAGGCGGCCTTCGAGGCTTGGGCATCGGACCGCCCCCCCCCCCCTGCGCGACTGTCCAGGCCGTTTTCGCTTCCCGCGAAAAATTTGCGAGAGTCCGGGCCCCCCGCGAGAAATTCGCGAGAGTCCCGCGAGAGATTCGCGTGAGTCCTTCCCGCCGCGCGCTGTCCTCTGAGGCGCCCCCCGGGCTACCTCGCCCCCGCGGAACCCCCTGGGCGATTCGCGAGGGCACTTCCCGCGCGAGACCACCCCGGGCGACTCGCGCAGGAAATGAGCGGTGGAGACCCCCCCGGGCGACTCCACCGCTCGGACGGACCCCCGCCCCGGGCGGATCGGCCCGTCCTGGAACCCCCCCCCGGGCGATCCAGGACCCCCCGCACCTTCCCTGGCGAGCGGGGGCGCCTACGGGAAAAGACCCCGCCCAAGTTCCCCCTTTTGAGGGAACTTTGGCGGGGGCGATTCGCGCCGGGGCGGCAGTCGAACCCCCCCGGGCGATCGACCGCGGCAAATCCCTCCAACATTTTTTTAATATTAAAAAAAAAACGCACACAAAACAACACAACACAACACAACACAACACAAAACACACACACACACACACACACACAACAAAAAACAAAAAAAAAAAACACCGGACGGAACATGCAACAAAAAAGCGCTCGCGCGCGCACAACAATTGTTAAATTAGGGCGCCGACTTTGCACACCTAAGAAAAAGGTACCCATGCCTCTACCCTTCCCCAGTTTTCCCTGTTTTGGGCCTCCTCGGAGGCCCTCGTCGCCACCGCTGGATTCGCCTCGAAACTCCTTGGTCAGAATGCAGCCCAGGAGAGGTCCAGGGGGTAGCGGTATCGGGTCGCAGGAGGCTGCGGCCTTTCTTCGAAGAAGACAAATCGCAAAAAGCATACATTGTTGGCGATATGCGCGGATTTTTTGGGTCTGCGCTGCGCCCCCCCGGCGGCGCCTCCGACGCTTCTGCTGGCGCGTTCCGTGTGCCAGCGACGGGGGCCCAGCGCGGATCCACGACATCCGCGCGGAACGTCAAAAGTTTATGGTTTCGTCGTGTCTTTTGGGTGCCTCTATTTCTCCCTCCGTCAGCAAACGCAGGCATGGGTCAGGGTGCATGGAGTCGCGACGGTTCCCATTACCGTGACGAATCAGCGCGCTGCGCCGCCAAATCAGGCGGGAAGCGGGCGCCACGCTTGTGCTGGCTGTTTCCCTGGTCTGTGGATCTGGCGCCCACTCGCCAAATCCCTAAACCTTGTTAGCGTGTGCCCGATCTCCCCAGGCCCAGCTCGTCTCGGTGCAGAAAACCCGTCTGTGGGCCCGCGCTGGTCTCCAGGGCCGCCCAGAAACAATTGTGGCCACCATAAATACGGTCTGGCCGCCCAAAACTAATCTGTCAAAAACTACCATGAGTTTAGTTTTGGACTTGGTTGGTCTCCTGAGATATATGTTTTCCCTGGCGCGTAGCAGCTTTGACGCGCCCCCCCTTGCTGGTGCCCTCGCCCGCCCCAACGGGAACGAACGTACTTGGGGGCGGGGTGGGGGGCTGGACTCCCCCTTTTTGCTGGTGCCCGAAGCCATGTTGTGCTGGTCGCAGGTATGCTGCGGCGTTCGCGCGCTCACCCCGCGCTATTGTTACCCAGGGCCTCGTCCCCCCAACCCCGGGGGTACGACAGCTACCCCGATTAATAAAATGTAAGCCCGCGTGGACCCCACGCAGTGCGTTTAATACCACTATGTGTTGTGCAATCATGCGTGGTGCAATCTCTGGTGTACATGTAGTCAATTATAAGTGGTACGAGCTATGCGGTGTTATCAGCCTGGTGCAACATATCAAACGCATTTTATGTGTTGTAACGAATCAGTTGCTCAACTTGAAGCTGTCCTCTCCACTGCTCGTGCAAACATCCCACCCACCCACCCACCCACCCGCGACATGGTTTGCAAAACCTTTTGAGACCGACTACGACGACAACGACTGCGACGACACCGACGACGTCTCCGACGACTTCGACGACGACAACGACTGCGACGAAGACGACGACGACGACGAAGACGACGACGAGGGAGGAGGAAGGACGACGACGACGGCGACAACGACGACAACGACGACAACGACGAGGAAGGAGGGAGGACGGCGACGACGCGAACGACAAAGAAAGAGGATGGACGGCGACGCCGACGACGACAACGACGAGGGAGGAGGGACGACGACGGCGACAACGACGACGACGACGACGGCGACGAAATAGGAGGGACGACGACGAGACGCCGACGACGGACGACGACGACGAGGTAGGAGGAGGAAGGACGACCACGGCGACAACGACGACGGAAACGACCACGACGCCAAAGACGACGACGGCGACCACGAGGAAAGACAGAGGACGACGTAGGCGACGACGACGACGACGCGGGAGGAGGGAGGACGGCGACGACGACGGCGACGACGACGACGACGCAAGAGCTCGCGCGGAAGCTTTTTTAGCAAACCAGTGTTGCGAAACCATGTGTTCTTGTATGTTTTTTGGAAACTCGATTGCCAAATCCTTCCGGCACCGAAGGTTTTTGAATGATTCCGGCATGCGCGCGCGACGACGCGCGCGTGTGCACTTCGTCCCGTTTTTTGTTGCAAAGGGTTCGCGAAAAAGTGCTATAATAGAACAAAAATGTCACCGCGTACTGTTTTTTACAAGGGAACCTCAGGGGGGGGATACCGGCCGCCCTGGGATAGTGTAAATTCAGATTTGAGGTGGACATGTGGTCAGAATCGTACATGATTTACACACCAGAAAGGGGGATTGATAACGCCGGGGGGGGGGGTATATCCTATTCTCTTTTTTGGAGAATCCACTCTGCTGAAGTTGAAGTCGTCATCTCCACTGCTCGCGCAAACATCCCACCCAACCACCCGCAACTTGGTGTGCAAAACCTTTTGAGATCGACTACGACGACACCGACGACAACGACTGCGACGACACCGACGACGTCTCCGACGACTTCGACGAAGACAACGACGCCGACGACGACGAAGACGACGACGACGACGCCGACGACGGACGACGACGAGGGAGGAGGGACGACGACGGCGACAACGACGACAGCGACGACAACGACGAGGGAGGAGGGATGACGGCGACAACGCGAACGACGAAGAAGGAGGATGGACGGCGACGCCGACGACGACAACGACGAGGGAGGAGGGAAGACGACGACGACAACGACGACGACGACGGCGACGAAATAGGAGGGACGACGACGAGACGCCGACGACGGACGACGACGACGACGAGGTAGGAGGAGGAAGGACGACCACGGCGACAACGACGACGGAAACGACCACGACGCCAAAGACGACGACGGCGACCACGAGGAAAGACAGAGGACGACGTAGGCGACGACGACGACGACGCGGGAGGAGGGAGGACGGCGACGACGACGGCGACGACGACGACGACGCAAGAGCGCGCGTGCACGCTTTTGGTGAACATCCGTGTTGCGAAACCTTGTGTTTTTGTATGTTGTTTGGACACACGATTTTGACATCCTGCCGAAACCGATGGGTTTTGAAGGATTTCGACATACGCGCGCGACGACGCGGGCATCTGCACTTCGTCCCGTTTTTTTGCACAGGATTCTCGCGACGGCACACGCGCAAGGGCGTTCGACAGATTTCGACATGCGCGCGCGCGAAGCCCGTTTAATAGCATTTTGTGGAAATCTTGACAACCATATGGTTTTCTTCAGATTTCGCAAGAGCTCGCGCGGAAGCTTTTTTAGCAAACCAGTGTTGCGAAACCATGTGTTCTTGTATGTTTTTTGGAAACTCGATTGCCAAATCCTTCCGGCACCGAAGGTTTTTGAATGATTCCGGCATGCGCGCGCGACGACGCGCGCGTGTGCACTTCGTCCC